GTAAATTGGTAATGATTATAATTATAAAACCCTATATGGTACTCTTCTCCTTCATTGACTTCTTCTCCGACCACCCTCCCCATCATAGCCAACGTCCGCCTCTTCCCTTATCTTCTCCCTTATCCTTTCTCACTTTTGAAGCATCCCTGTCCTACAGGTTTTAAATGGTTTCCTGTGTTTTTTTGGTAACAATGGTGGAAGCGGTGGTGGTGTTTGCCATGAATAGGCGGTGGTCGTCGTGAAAGAGGCGTTGGTGGTTATGGAGGAAGTAGATATGGAGGAGCCGTAACTGTGAGAACTGAGTTGTTTGTGTTAACTGTGAGAACCAATATTAACCATAAATCAATAGATAAATTAAGAAATTTATAAATTTGGTAATTTTAAATTAAAATCTTAATGCAAGAATATTTTTGGTATTTTAAAACTCTCCTCTCTCCTCTCTTCTCTCTCCGGCCACCGTTCTCCGGCCTCCGGCCACCGTCCTCTGGTGATACCACTGCGATACCTAAAAATATTGACTCTGTTAAACAAAAGATACATTGTGATACYTAATCATATATAAGATGCATAGTGATACCACTGTGTGACATCTTCGATCGATCACACAAACGATATCAATGTGATACCCAAGCACATATATGATGCATTGTGATACCATTGTAGTATCATCGGAGGACGGTGGCCGGAGAGAGAAGAGAGGAGGGAGGAAAGTTGTAAAATACCAAAAATATCCTTGCATTAAAATTTTAATTCAAAATTACCAAAATTATAAATTTCCTAATTTATCTATTGATTTGTGGTTAATATTAGTTCTCATAGTTACCACAAACTAATTAGTTCTCATTTGATTAGGCCCCTATATATATGTGTGTGTGTGTGTGTGTGCATGTGTAGACTTGGGATCACGTGAGACGAGATTGTTTTTGTGAGACCCTTGAAACCTCTTTTTTACACTTGAAACTTCACAGTAAAACATTGTGAACGTTCAGATTTTTTTTACCTTCACAATGTTTTACTGTACAGTTTCAAGTGTAAAAAAATAGTATTATTAAAACAAGGTGGTCTCACGTGATTCCAAATCTATATATATCAGGTCGATTTGGAGTAAGATATAAAGCCATTTGGTGGCATTCAATAAGTTAAACGTAAAACATTTACCTCAGTTGCTTGAATCCCTACTTGTTCTTGCTTCAAATTTCCTCTCCAATAATCTCCCTCTTATTGCAAAGCCTAGAAATATCTCTGTTTCTCTTCCTTAAGTTGCTTGGGCCGGGCCCCATTACCCAATCTTGGGCTCTCTTGTTGGGCTTTTTATTCCTCCTTGGCCCATCATTAAACTACTTTTCAGATTTGATAATTGATACTGATAGTAATCTTCCATTTACTTTGTAACTGAAAAAATAACCAAAATTGTTAATTATAATTCAAATGGTTATTAAATTAACAATTTTGGTTATTATTTAAATTCGCTTTCCACCAATTATCACGATGCCTCATGTCATGTCTTCTCTAGTAAATTAACAATTATAATTCAAGGCAATGTGATACCCGAAATACACCAAGATACACAATGTGATATCTAAAACACACCAAATAAACTTTGAGACGACTGTGGTACCACCATGATACCTACTTCCTATACCTATTTATGTGTGTACAATGTGCACAATGTTTGTTGTAAGGAATCGAGAAACCCCCCTCTTAACACTATTAGGTTTAGAGGCCGTTTACCTAAACACTTACTCGGTAAGAGCTCAAATTCAACATTATTGTTTACTTATCGAGTAAGATTTGAGTCCATCAAAACAACATTGTATGTAATAATTTACCCGGTAAACGCTAACCGTGGTAAGAGTCCTCGTCATCACTTACCGGATAAGACTCTCGGTCCTTGTCTTCGCTCTTACCGGGTAAGGGGAGTGTCGATGGAGATGGTGGTCAGTGGCGAGCATGGGGGAAGGGAGATAGGTAGTGACGGGTTAGAGGGACAAAGATGGGGCTAGCTGTCGGGAATGCTCACAAGTGGGTGTTTAGTGGTCGATTATCAGAGACAACGTCTTGGTCAGACAAGATGACCGAATGAGGTCACCAGAGTGGTGGTGGGTGCCAGAGAATGCCACTAGATTTGGGCCATATATGTGTGTGTATATATATATATATATACATATATTAAAATAATTAAACTAATTAAAGTAAATTGAATAATCAACACAATTTACTAATTTACTCTTTGTTTTATTTTGGTAAATAACATTAATTATCTAAAATGATTGGTTCATATTAGACCTCACAGTTACCACAAACTATCTTTAGAGATTTTGACTTAAAAAAAATGTTATAGAGCATCTTCAATACAAGGTTCTTATAAGCAAAAAATATAGTTTTTTACAAGAACCAACAATGTAAAGAGTTCTTATAAGAATCTCATTCCCTTCGAGTTCTTATACAAAAACTTTGATTCTTATCTTAAAGTTGGTGTGAAGTGATAATTTACTAGTTTTTTAATTTAAATATTTGATATTTATTTATAATAATTATTGATTTTTAAAAAGTACATCAAACCTACAAAAAGAGGTTCGTATAAGAACTATCATTGTAAAATTTTATGTGAATCTTAATTTGATGAGTTGAAAATAAGATGACAAAAAAAAAAATACAGAAAATAGTTTTTTTATAATAAGCTCCGTTATAGATGCTCTAATATAACTTGATCCTAAGATAAATATGGTTCATAGTAGAGTGCTAGAGTTGATCATTTGCGAGCTTAGGCTGGACCTGAGACTTGTTTAACCTATTTTTTTATCCAACAGACCTAATATGGTAAAACCAAGCTCGCTTTTACGGGTTTGAAAATTTACCCATATCCGTCCTATAAACAACCGGACTTGCCTATGGGCTTAAAAATCTTGTTATATTTTTTATGAAAACAATACTTATGCAAAATCACAAGTTATGTAAAACCATTTAAAATACATAACAATTTTTCTAACTTAAAGTTTGACGTAAATACATAACAATATACATACTTTAGAAAAAAAAATCTTTCACTAAATATAATATATCGATAAAGAAAATGACTAAATGAGATAATAAATATTTGATCAATTGAGGTAATTACATTTTCACAGTTAAGATTTTTAAAGAATGTTATTATCATGAGTCATAATTAAGTAGGAATTGATAAGTAACAAGAATTTTCAATTTTATTTGTAAATTTTAATTATAAAAATTAATTATTATAAAAAGATTAATTGGTCTGACGGGCCTGCCCAAATATTTTTTTTCATTGCCCATGTCTGCCGATTAACTTTAACAAGTCAGTTCGGGTCCGCCCATTTCTTCAAGAATGGTAATCCAAGCCCACTTTTCTAGCGGGCTGGACAAGACGGGTCTAGTGGGTCATCCCGTCCGCGAACAACTCTAGTTCATAACGCAAATGCATATGTTTTACGGGTGCGTTTAATACACCGGAAAAGACATAATATAGCATAGTTCATTGTTCCATGTTTGGTAGAACTTTTATGTGGAACATACACGAAGAAAGTGAAACAGACGTGTTCCACCTACTCTATGGAAGAAGCTGGAAAAGACTTATGTTTTAATAATATATCCTCAAAACCTTTTTATGATTTATTCATTTTTTTAAAATTCATTTATTGTAATTTATGTCTTTTAAAATTTCAATTTACTGCCTTTAAAATATTATTTTTATACGGTTCCTATATTTTGATTAATTTATATAATTTATTATTAAATAACATAATAAAAAAGGGTTCTTGACTCAAATGATCATTTCACACATCTAAATTGGTCTCCTAACCATTCCTCTCCTGATTGACCCAAATATCATACTTCCATAATATTCAGGTCCGCAACATTACGGACCTAGCTAAAAGGCAAAAGAAATAATCAAAATTCAACACAGATATGCAAATGCGACGACCAGGTTCGCGATTGCGACGATAAGACTGGTTGAATTTGAATTTTTTTTCTTTTAGTATATTGTGAACATGAATATTATGAAAATAGTGACATTTGGGTCAACTTGAGAGAAAAATAATTATAAGACCAATTTAGATGTATGAAATGATCATTTGAGCTAATTTCTTTTAAAAAATTATAGAAAATATATAAACAAAAATTGGAAACTATTTAAACTTTTTTATTTTAACGTTATTTTAATTATCTTGACGAAAAATTTTAACTGTTGTATTTTGTTATACAAAATATGTACTTTATTTTAATTTAATAAAATACATAATCAATCAAAATATATAAATAATTAATTAGAAGTAAATTGATTATTTTATCTTTATCTATCCTATCAAGTTCTATTTTACTAAATACTCGAGAACTGTTTTACCTTATTTTATTATATTTGTTATTATCCGTTACCGAATAACTCTGCCGGGTTGCTTACGTCAGCATGACTTGTTTCCCTCGTACGTTGTCATTTTCACACGTATTCATCTCAATACTTCTATTTCCACGTGGCCTTCCAGATCATCCCTCTAAGACAAGGGACCGCTTCATGTAGGTCCTACTATTTTGCTTTTCACGAGCTTAGGTTGGCAACTTTCATCAGTACACGTGTTCCACAGTTACTCGTCATATCTTAGAAAATATATATTCATACCAAAAGGGATATTTAATTTTAAAATAATAAAAAAAATTAAACATTTTATAATTAAAAAGTTAATACTTATTTCTAAAAATTAACCATTATTATAAAACAAATTAAAATGGACAATTTTTTATCTTTTAAGACGTGTGATCCTTCTATTTTTAGAAAGTCATATCGGAATTGTTATTTATTCCGTACGCATTTATGTATGATTTTCCTATTTTTAGCAACTTGCATTCATGATGAATGTTACATTGGTATATGTACAGACTAGTACCGTCATTCATCATATCAAACATCCACGAGAAAACCACGCAAACACACACACACACCCCCCGCCATGACTACCACCGATTTCGCCACCATCTTACCTCGTGTCCTCATAGTATCCAGGCGAACCCTTCGCAAGAACAAATTCGTCGATTTCGTCGGTATTTATACATCTATATCTTCATATGAATTCTTCATGCAACCCCAATCGAATCATAAAGTATAGAATTTCTTTCCATGCATGTGCCTAATCTTTTGATTGATTTGAAGTTCTTCATGATTCGTTGTTGATTAATTAGTCATGAATTTGGTTTTGATTCAGTTCAGTACTCAACTGCATGAAAAAAAAAAATTTGAATCCATATTGGTATTCCGTTTCCGAATCTGGATTTGTCAATTAATTTCTGACCTAATTCTGCTTTTGCTAACAGGCGAATATCATCTAGATCTGGTAGTCGGTTATGGAGCTGTTCCGGTGATTGTTCCCCGAGTGACTGGTGTCCATATGCTATTGAACAGCTTTGAACCGATCCATGGAGTTCTTCTCTGCGAAGGCGAAGATATCGATCCATCTCTTTACGAAGCCGAAACAACGTTTCTATCCTCCGAAGAGTTGGATGAAATCAGACGTCTCCATGCCAGCGATACCGCCATAGACAAAGAAAAGGACACAATCGAACTATCATTAGCCAAGCTCTGTTTAGAAAGAAACATACCATTTTTGGGAATTTGCAGGGGTTCACAGATTCTAAATGTAGCATGTGGGGGTTCCCTTTATCGAGATATTGGGAAGGAATTAACCAAATTCTGTCCACAAGAAAACAAAGTGGTTCATATCGATTATGATAATTACGATGGGCATAGGCATGTGGTTAAGATTGTGGAGAACACCCCTTTGCATCACTGGTTTAAGTATTCTCTTGAAGAAGAAAAGATGGAGATCATGGTTAATAGCTATCACCACCAAGGGGTTAAGAGCTTAGCCCACCGATTCAAGCCTATGGCGTTTGCACCAGATGGTTTGATAGAAGGGTTCTATGATCCTGATTCTTATAATCCTGAAGATGGTAAGTTCATAATGGGGTTACAGTTTCATCCTGAGAGAATGAGGAGCTTGTATTCAAACGAATTCGACTATCTTGGATGCCCTGCTGCCTATAAGGTGAACATAAATACATAATTGTTTCATTCATTGAGTTCTTTTTTAAAATTTTCTTACAACAAAATCAACTTTATATGATGACAAATATGTTTAAGGTCCTAAAACACTGTATCGAATTGCTCGATCTTTGGTACACAATGCAGGAATTTGTGAAAGCAGTGGTGGCATATCAGAAGAAGCTCAATGGTACAAACAAAGTACCGAATTCTTTAAAACTTGATAAAGAGTTGGAGGAAAGAAGAAAGGTAATCGTTCATAGTTTCTCTGTTGCAAGAAACATATATGCAGCAGGTGACAGTTTTCATCAATCCAAAGAATCTGATCTCAAACCAGGATTAGAATTTCTTGAGGTATAAACTAAACCCACCATCATAATTTTAATAGAACACTGCACCAACTCCAAATATTAGATTAATAATGGGATACTTTATTAAAGTCCATTCGTCTAGATTAGGACCATTTCTTTTCAATATATTTTGGAATCTCCTGTCTTTCCTCGAGCCTTTTTGGAGAGTAATTTAATTTGATTCCATATATTCTTACATTATATGAGAGCAAATGCCCACCAATTTAGGTACCATGTAAGAACGGTAGTACTGTTGGTGTTTCATATTGGCTAGACTTGGACATTTTCTCTCAAACATATGTTGAAAGCTCCCTTCTCTATAGAATGGCTCTTTTGTAGAGTTAACTTAATGGGATTCTACACATTCTTACATGGTATCAAAGTAAGTATCTATCCCGCTCTAGAGACTTGATATTTTGGGACAATTTGTGATTGTCTAGCTTCCGTTGGAGGAGTACTCTTGGTGTTTCATATTGGCTAGACTTAGACCATTTTCTTGAAACTCTATTTTCTCCTAAAAAGCTCTTCTGAGAAGTAATTTAATGGGATTCCACGTATTCTTACGGATTAATTAATTGATTTCAGTCAAACACAGCATTGAGTTTGCAACAAGAAAAGAGGTTGAAACAAATGGGAGCAACAGTAAGGAATGCATGTTCATATAAGGAGAGATTGAAGGTGAATGAAGAGAGGGAGAAATTGGCAAGGGTGGTGATGGGGAAAATGACAGTAGAACAGTTATCTGATTTAGCTCTGTTCTATCACATGATGGAGAATATATGCTCTGAAGTGTTGGAAAAGAAGCTTCAAAATGCTGTCCCTACTGATCTGACTCATTCAGATGCTTTTTGATCCATTTTGTCTTTTTTATTCCAGTGTTCAGTTCTGAAAAGTTTCATATGACTACTCTTTATAACCAAGGATTACACTTGTGTATATATACACTATCTCACTCTTTCTTTCCCTTCAAAATAAGTTAGATATAATATTATTAATATTTATATTTTTATATACAATATCAGCTCAAATGAACATTTCTCTTATTCAAATTGGCCTTCTAGCTATTTCGCTCACGGGTTGACCCAAATGTTACTACATCCCGATGCTCATTGCGGATCTAGCTAAAAGACAAAAAAATTGTCAAATTCAACCAGTTTGATGTCGCAATGCGGACCTCGCTGTCGCTATTGCATGTCTGGCCGTCCTATGTATTTGTGTTGAATTTTTGGTCTTTAGCTAGATACACAATATTGCGTACCTGAATATTGCGGAAGTAGTGACATTTGGGCCAACCCGGGAGAGAAACGGTTAGGAGACCAATTTGAATGAGGAAGACGGTCATTTAACCCACGAACTTTAAAAAAAAAGTAATCTTTAGAAAACCTTTATAAAATCATTATTATCTACTGGTTGGTTCTTTGCCATTATCCAAAAAGAACTTAGGGGGTGTTTGGTTCATGGAATTTGGTGGAATTGGAAGGAATTGGAATGTCCAAATCTTTGATCAAATTCCAAATACCATGTTTGGTTCACATAATAGATGTAAATGAATCATTCCTATTCCAACAAATTCCTTAATTCATTGATTTTACAATTCCATCACATATACTACCACGGATTTCAAATTCCAATCCGGCAAATTCCTTAGCCCTCATTCATTCATCGACGTTGTATCTCGATTTGTTTTGTTCTTCTATGCTCGATCTCGTTTAAAACTAAGAATGGCAACGGGCCATGTTCGGGCCGGTTATTGGTATCCCCGTCCCCGAAACCGATAACTAAAACCGTCCCCGTGACCACCCCGATCCCCGTCGGGTCCCTGCGGTTTCCCCGATCCCCATTGGGGAACTCGTTAAGGTAAAAATCCTCTTTTTCCCGTTCACCATTGGTTGTAACCGAACCCGAAACCGAAACCCGAAACAGATCTAAAAAAATTACCATCAGTTTCGTTTTTTTTTTTGCCTGTAATTTTCTCGTTGAATTCCGTGAATGAAACAAAAAAATTCCAATTTCGTTAAGAATTTCATTCCAATTCCATCCAACCAAACGCAATCAAAAGATATGGTCAAATTCCATTCCATTCCATTCCCTCAAAGTCAAATTCATTTAATGAATTCCAATTCCATCGAATTCCATTTTACGAACCAAACGCCCCCTTAGTGTTTTTGAATCTTGCATAGTCCTTTTTAAAAAAAAAAAGTTATACACAAAAATCTATATAAAATGACATAAAATTTAAGCTATAAGGTAAGAAATATAAGAGGTTATTTGGCGGTTGCTAAATGGTTTGGTGCAGAATGATTAAGAAACTTTCATGATATAGTGCAAAATGAAATATAATTGTTTGATAATTGTTTACAATGAAATTAGGGTGCTGAATAGTAAATGGAGACCCATGATACAAAATCATCCAGAGGGTTTTAGAACCAATAAAATACAGACTTTGTTTTTGCCAAACAAGATTCACCTCTTAACGATTCAGAAGATGCCTCTTAATGGAACTATTAAGATGCAAACAAAAAAACTGAACCTACACCCTTTTGACGAAAAGGCGGCACACTACATATCTATCATCGGAATTTGTATCATTATTGTAGTTTAAATTTTTTTTGTATCATTATTGTAGTTTAGAAAAATATAAAAACCATATAACAAAATAATATGATGATATGATATCATTTATAAACATAATTTTTTTTTCTATTACAAGGAAACAATGAAGTGTTTTTCTACCCAATGGTCTACGGCACATTTGACCTAATTAATTTATAAGGTTAGATGCAAAATGTTTTCCCCCCTATAAATTGGACAAATTTTAGGTGATTCGACTAAAGAGTTGTTTATCAAATACTTATATAATAACTATTTATCGGTAAGATTTAACACTATTATTTATTTACCGTGTAAGATTTTAGTTAAAAAAAACGATATCATATGCAACAATGTACTCGGTAAGCACTAATCGTGTTTATAAGAGTCATTGCATTCATCACCGGATAAGACTTTATCGGTTCTTGTCTCACTCTTATCGAGCAAGATTTTTGGTCATTGTTATATTCATCCATTAAAATAATGTAACTTGGTAAGCGCTTACCCGGATAAACACTTGGTAAACGGACCCTAAGTGGGTTCTCTAAAGAGTTGATTGTTGCAGACCTATTAATTAAGCCTCAATTGAGTTTAGTGTACTTGTTCAACTTATTTTCGTAAGTAGAATTTTTTTTGAGTAAAAAAGGTGCACCAGTTAAACTTTGAAGGGTGTTCCGTGATATTAGAAAATTTAAGAAACATCAACCAAAAAACGGAAAAGAGTTGTCCGAAATCACTCAAAAAACTTTAAAAAAATCGCTCAAATGAACCAAAATTCTTAAGAAAATCCCTCAAAGAGGTGGAATTAGACTAAAATCACATCGGACGATTCTACGGGCCTTTGATCCACCTTAAAAAGGTGCACCCGACAAAAATCCTAGGTCCATGGCTGAGTATATGATTTGAGCATGAAATGAATTTGGCCATAACAATCAGGTATATCTACCCTATCCTCTCAGTCGCTACCATCATTTTCAGTTTCAGAGACGTCTGGTTTGTCGAATAAGATGAAATTGGAAATGACAAATTCTTTTTACCAATTTTCTTGTCGTTGATTGGTTCTTAGATTGAATGGATTTGATTCCGCAAAATTGCGTGAATTCTAAAGTTGGGAGATCATCATTATTTTTTTCCAAAAGTCAAGGAATTGAATTACATTATTTGGCGAATATTAATTAAAGATTTCATAATTTGATTTTAATATTGAAATCCAGTTTAAAGTTTAATCAACACCGTCAGCAGTTCAAATTAACACCCCCAACTCACCATCACCAACCGCCATTGCCGCCACCACCTCCACTACTGTCGAACCACAACATCACCTTTGCCACAAATGCGACGCTCACGACCCGTTACTACCACCAACCAATCAATATCGTTATTATTAATTATATCATTCTGTACTATTAATGGTTTAAGCAGGAAAATACAAAAGTGATATAAACAGAAATCTTGGTCATTTATCATTATTTCATTAACAATTTACAAAGTTACATTCTTCCATACAAGCAAAATAGATTTTAATTTCAATCATTTCCGTTCCATAGACAAGTGCTAAAAATATCTTGTAAACACCCCTTTAAACATTTCACTCGGTTATAAAATCATATCATGTTATCTCTTTCTTACAATTCAACAAACCAATAAATTAATTTTATCATTAACAATATATGGACCCGGTCTCTCAATCATTGTCAAAATGACGATATTGTATTTGAAAACCCTAAAAATCCAAGGAAAAATAGGAGTAGCAAGACTACGGCGTCTTTTGGAAAGCAAGAGCAGAATCGAGATTTTTTTCTTTTAAATTTTAGCTCATCAAATTCAAAACCTATGAAAGTCGAACGAGTCTCGTACACATGTTCACACAATTTTTGTAAGTAGAACTTTTTAGAGGCATGAAAAATGCACAAAACTAAACTTTGAGAGATGCTCTGAGATATTAGAAAACACAAGGAACATCAACTAAAAAACCAAACAACTTTTCGAAATCAACCAAAAGAACCACAAAAGATCTATCAAAAAATAAAATAAAAACTTAAAAATCCTTTAAAATAACCAAAAGATTTAAAAAAAAAACCCCTCGAATTCAACCAAAAATTTTAAAAGATCTTTTGAAATGGTAGAATTCTAGTAAAAACACATCGTACGGCTTGCAAGCCTTTAATCCACCTTAAATTGCAGCCATGCAGCAAAAATCTGCGGTCCACCACTACCGGTGAAGCATCACCACTTTCGATTATCTTATCGGATAATATTTTTTGCCATCAAAATTGATAGTTGTATAAATAGTCAATCAGCCTTGATGGATCACTTCTACCATAAATCGACATAAAATACAGCTTATAGCTACTAACAAAGTCAACTTCGCCTTGATCAACTTTTTATATGCGGTAGTAGTTGGGTGGCTGAATAGTTAAGCCACTACTGACTGAAAAAAAACTAGTCTACAATCCAGAATCAAGAAGCCACCCTTTCTAATGTCTATGAATTCCCGATATTTGATCGTTAAATTACTCATTTTTATCACAATCGAAGAATGTTCAAGCGCCCTGGACGGATTCAATGGCACCTGTGATGATTCGTTCAGCTGCGGAACCATCTCCGGCATCGGATACCCTTTCCGGCGGCATCAGGATCCTACACACTGTGGTTACCCCGGTTTTGAGCTCAACTGTGATGAACGGAATCTGCCCACCATCGACATCATGAACCTTAAGTACCAGATTCTGGGCATCGATCTAACGGCCCAGATTCTGAGGGTGGTTCGAGAAGATATGGTGAACTCGATCTGTCCGCAAGAACTAGTCAACACCACGATTAATCACGAGCTTTTCGACTATACCTCGAGTTATATGAACATCAGTTTTCTCTTCGGATGTCCATTTTCTTCCAACATCGTGGGGTTTGGCTCGATTTTATGCAGTACGGATGAGATTTCTAGTCCGGTCCTTGTGTTGCCGGGAATACAAGGCCCAGGCGACTGTAAAACTAGTGTTGTAACCCCGGTACCAGTTGGGTTTTTGGACCCAACTCGGCTGGGTCAAGTTTTACGTGAAGGGTTTGAGGTCAGGTGGAAGGTCGGGAGGACTTGCAGCGGTTGCATGCGGTCTGGTGGCCGGTGCCTGTACAATAACGATACAGGGCTAACCATGTGTGGGTGTCCTGGACCAACTTTTCTGGCCGATAACTGTTCGACGACAAATAAAACTGAAGTTGGTTCGTCACCATCATCAGGTATGCAACTCTTTTCTACGTCGTTTTTGCTTGTTGGCGTTGGTAGTTGGCGGGGTTAACGACGACTTTTGGGTTTTGTCTTCAACGTATCTCTAGTCCAGGTTCAGTTCTGCATCGATGACTAACTTGTAGGGCTGTAAACGAATCGAACGAACACGAACATAAATTTGTTCATGTTCATTTGTTTAGCTTAACCAAACGAACGAACACGAACAGTAAACGAACAAAAATAATTGTGTTCATGTTCGTTCGTTTAGAAATCAGGTATGTTTGTGTTTGCTTATGTTCGTTTGTTAACATGTTAAACGAACGTGTTAAACGAACATGCCTAAACGAACATAAACAAACGAACACCAATACTTGTTATTCAATTGAGTATTAGATACCAATTATCCATAGTTTAAACATACACAAAACAATCATCATTCATCAACCATCATTAATATACCAATACTTAAAAGGCTCAATACTTAAAAGACTTTTTAAAACTTGAATTCAAACTAAATAAATAAAAGTTATATATAAACGAACGTAAATGAATAAACGAGACTCTTGTTCATGTTCGTTCTTTTAACTAAATGAACAAATTTTTTTGATCATGTTCATTCATTTATTAAATAAACGAACATAAATGAACTTCTTGCCAAACGGTTCATGAACGGTTCGCTGAACGTTCGGTTCGTTTACAGCCCTACTAACTAGTAATGACGTAACATAGTTCAATTAAATACACTTAAAAATTATGTTTATAGTTTTATAATTGGTTTTCAATCAAATACATTTAAAAAGTATGTTTTATTGTAAATTGATTTTCAATCAAATACACTTAGAAAACTAAAATTACATATAAAAAAAATTGAAAAACAATCAGGCCGATCCCGGGACGGGCCATTTTTTGGATGAAAACCATAACCGGTCCTTAACCGACGGTTCCAAACCGGTCCCAATCGGTCCTAGGCTGGGCCGGTCCTAAGTCAGTCTAGGTCCTGAGTCGGGCCGAGCCCATTTGGCCATCTATACTAACTAGGGTCAATATGGCTCACTTGTGGGACCGGTCAGTTTAAAAAAGTATTTTTTATATAAAAATATTATATATTATTACGATTCTTAATACTTAAAATTGAAACATACTTTAACTAATTAGAAGGGTACTCACGTAATATAGATAGATACATCTTGATTTTAATGTTTTGTTTTATTATCTATCTCCATCGATATTATAATATGGTTTTATGTGGTTTTGAGAAAACGATAATGTTTTTATTTTTGAATAAAATATAAATTAAAATATCATAAAATTTTAAAAAAGAGTATATAATATTAGTAACAGATCAACTATTTAAAAGTTCTTGTTTTATGTAATTTCTTTAATTCAATTTTTTTTATAATTTAATTTCACATAACGAAGTAATTTAATTTAGGTTTAATAATATAAATTTATATAAAGATAATATTAACTGTTAAAACTCAATGATTATCGTAATTTTATTTTAGATATTTTATATTTAAAAATGAGATGTTTATCCTGTATTTGATTATGTTTATCTGTAGTTAGTTACACAAATTCAAACATGAAGCTTTAATAAGTTGTACATATGCACAATTTACTTGTAATCTTGAATTTTAAGTAATATGCATTGATAAACAATACCTTATGCATAAAAAAAATAGTTTTTAAGAGTTTTTGTCAAATGCTTTATAATATAGTATAGATATATTAAAGTAAATAAAATACTTGAAAACTAAAAAAAACTTGAAAATCTTATAAAAATATTGAAAAACATGTAATTCAATTTATAATTCTTTTAAAATCGGGCCTATACGTAACGAGTATCAGGCCGTACGTTAAAATTCTTTAAAGAAAATGTAACTGGATCTGGACAATTGGGGTATGATCGGTCCAAATTGGTTCTGGACAGGTCAAGTTGAGCTCCGATTCCAAACCAGGTCGTGCAGATTCGACCATTTCTATCTATAACTATGATAGATGATAAAAAAAAACTAATAAATCTTGATAATAAAAAAAACGATATAACACTTTTAGAACTCCAATTTTGTCAACTTGCACACAAATGAAAGAGTGTCATTCATTGTATTTAGAATCGATGGCTTGAAAATTTGAAAAGTGATTCGAACCATTGTCATTCATTTTCTGTCATCTAATCTTAAAAAATCAGTATTGGTCCAACTCGATTCCAAGGTTATTTGCTTTGCAACTGTGCTAATGATAGTTTCACGTTAACGTGTAAATTCACATTTCATTAAATCGTAAATCTATTTCCCATCTACGTGAAACCGAGTCTTGTCCGTATAACAACATAACCAAGTTAAACAAATGCACTCAAGTTTAGAATTTTGGTTTCTTAAACTTGACCTAAGCTCAACGACCCCTAAGTCTATTTAAATATTTGTAAAATATTATTTTAAAAACTATGACTTAAACTTTATAATTTTATATTATTCATAAAAGAATTTGTACATTTAAAATATATAAATAACAAAAATACAATTATGTTATTCCCATGTTACATTATAAAAATAATAGTTGTTGGTTCATGGTAAATAAATAAATGAATAAAAGTAATTATAAAAATACGTTAGACCACTACTTTGATTTTTAATGCGAGTCATTTTGTGCTTGATAAATGGTAGGTTTATGTTTACGATAAACGTCTCTTTCATATGAATGAAATAAACTTCGTTAAGGAAAAACAAGCTTGGCTTGTTAATCGGGAGCGAAACAACGTGATTAGGTTTTGAAGCCATGGAAAATCAATCTTTTAGCTGCAACTGATGTTATAGGACTGGACATGACAATACAAAACAAAGTTCAGTGTCCCACGTTTGGCAACATGAAACAGGGATTGAGTGAGATTGTAAGGGACAAAAACATGTTTTTTTGTGAGACAATAATGAGATAAACTTAAAATATTATCAATCTATTCTCAATTGATGAAATTCTAATATGATATTTGGTTTAATAGTGACCACCGTTGTGGCCGCCACCAACATCAACCATGAAATAATCACCACCTCCATCACAACCTCTATCTCCACCATATCAACCACCACCTCTACCTCCTTGACAACCACCACTTCCACCTCCATATCCACCACTATCGGCCGTCACTACCACTATCTTCAAGTCATCCCCAACCACCGCCTCTACTTCATCATCATCATCTTCACCACCTCCTCTTCCACTATCATTAGTAACCACTATATAAAATCATTAAAAAAACATTGAGGGACCAGTTGGCTGACCAACAACTTGTCATGTACCGTTTTTTTGTCTTGTCTATTCTAACTCTGTCTTATACAGTCTAGTCCAATCTGAATATCAAATACTACCTTAATTTATCAAAAATTTCAAATATAATATCTTAAATGTTATCATAAGCAAGTCATAATCATTTGAACCCCCTACTCAAACTATAAAGATAGACTTCAGCGACTATATTGAATTTTTGCCGTTAAGACAAAAATTATGATCGAAACTTACAAATTTTTAATTCGTCCTGTAATTGTTTAAAAAAAATCACATGGTCACATTCTTTTTGATCGTGCATTTCGTACTTCTTGTAATTTTATTTTATAGTTCTCATCTTCAATTTTTCCATTAAAAAAAAAAAATTTAATAAAATTAAAAAGTATTTAATAAAACAAAAAAGTGGTAAAAAATTATTTAATAATACCGGGGCCCCGAATGAAACTACTCGTATTTCGGATTTTTCCCGTTAATTTCAAAACGACCATGCCAACTTTAAGCCCGATTAAAATGGCACCTCACTGCTCCAATCTCTTCCAAAATGCCTCCTTCGTCTCTCTTCTCCGCAGCCGTGCTCCTCCTCCTCTTCCTCCCCCACTCCGGCAACCTCACGGTGTCCCTTACAGAACCCAACTTCTCGCCCTTTCCTGGCTGTGAAGGCACTTTCTCCTGTGGCAACATTCACAACCTTGATTACCCTTTCACTGGCGGTGATCGACCGGATCACTGTGGTCCACCTGAGTTCCGACTTACTTGCTCTAAAGACGACTACCCCGAGTTGGTTGCTGACTCAGTTGCTTACCGGGTTCTTGAAGCCAACTTGACCGGAAAAAGCCTCGTACTAGCTCGGTCGGACTTGTGGAACAATCCATGTCCTAATAGGATTTTCAATTCGACTCTTGATTCCAGAATTTTTTATGCTGGCGGCGAAGAGAATGTTGATCTCACGATATTCTTTGGGTGTAGCTTGTCTCTTATGGCCACCCAACAGCCATACAGATTTTATTGTGACGTAGATGGGGTGGATCTTACGGATTCCTACTTTTTCATCGGGAAGGTTCCTATTGATCCGATATTAAAGATGATACACTGCTTTAAAGGAGTTAGGATTCCGTTACTGAGAACTGTTGGTGATGACCTCAATCGGAGCATATTGACTCTTGCGGAGGCTCTGACTCGGGGTTTTCAGGTCATCTACAGTGATCCATACAATGAGCAGTGTTCGGAGTGTAGCAGGTTGAATGGACAATGTGGATTTAACGTTGCTACAGGTCAATTCGTTTGCATCTGCAACAGTAGGATATGTAGCCCACCAGGTGTTCGACGTTTTGCCTTCTTATATTATATGACTCAAAACCATCCAAGAATTAGTGTAAATAACATAAAACAATACTTGCTCGTCAAAATAGTTGCATTTCTCAAGTGGGTTTGTTCAGTAATCGATTTTGGTTATGAACTTTAAGTAAATGTTTTGATGCTAACATTCTTGAAAGTCTATTTATTTGCAGGGAGCTCAAAGAATCGGTCTCTGACTATAAGTATGGATTTCTTTCTATCACTAAATCGACTGTAATTTCTTCGTAATAATTGTTTCAAGAAACTAAGTTTTACTCTTTTATCTTTGAACTCTAGTCCTTCCAACCATTGGAGCGATTCTTGTTGGTATTGGCATCGGATTTGGAATCTTTGTTCGTAGACAAAGGAGGAAAAGGCGGACTATAACTCAAACCGAGAGCAAAGCCATTCTGACTACTATTTCAAGCAAAGGACTTACTAGTAACACTCGATCTAATTTCACTTCCAGCATCCCTTCGTATCCTTCATCAAAAACAACTAAAGATTTCGGAAAATCCTCCTATTTTGGAGCTCAGGTTTTTAGCTATGAGGAACTAGAAGTAGCTACCGATAACTTCGATGATTCAAGAGAACTTGGGGATGGTGGATATGGAACTGTGTATCACGGTACTACTATCAACCTTTGTACTGTTATTGTTGGAGTCCTATGTCGGTTAGACATGAACTATCAAACCTGTATATATATATATATATATATATATATATATATATATATATATAAAGGAACCTCTGGTTCTGTATAAAAGATCTTTTAGGTTTAATTCAAAAGGGTTCCACATATACAAAAATGGTATCAGAGTCATGGTCTATCACCACTTAGGGACTCGACAACCTCTTTTGCCTCCGTTCTTGAGAGCACAGTCTAGCCTCAGTTTGAGGGAGCATGTTGCAGTCTCACATCGGATAGACACGAGCCATAAAACCTGTATATATGGGAAACAAACCGTCAAACCTACATCTATCTATATATATATATAGGCGAAGGATCGTGTGAGAAGGGAAGTTATAGTGAGAAGCATAAGAAAGGATCTGAATCCTTGATCACTTTTAATCCCATGTCCATCCATAAATTGTGATTTAGAAGGACATTGATCCGGTGCATCTCGGTGCAGCTCATTAGTGTTGATATTCAATTAGGATTGATCTAACAGTGGAGATCTCTTCTTCCGCTTCTCATCATGACTTCCGTTCTCACCCGTACCCAATATATATATATATATATATGTATGTATATAGGAACCTCCCCTCTCTACAAGGGTTCTTATAGAGAAAACTCAAAGGGTTCCACATAAACGAACACGGTATCAAAGTCGGAGTCTAGCACGCTTAGGGACTCGACACACTATTTTGCCTCCGTTCTTGAGGTCACTGTCAAGCCTCCGTTTGAGGGGGCGCGTTGGAATCCTACATTGGCTAAACACGAACCATCAAGCTTACCTATATGTAGGAACCTCCCATTCTTCTATATAAGGACTCATTTAAGAAACTTCATAGGGGGTTCCACATAGCCTAATAGTCAAAATCAGGACTAATGAGGCATTTGTTAACTCTTTGGATTTTGTTCTCAGGTAAGCTTCTTGACGGTCGAGAAGTTGCTGTCAAGCGTTTATACGAGAATAATTTCAGGCGGGTGGAGCAATTCATGAACGAAGTTGAGATCTTGACAAGCTTAGATCACGAAAACCTGGTGAAATTATATGGGTGCACATCAAAACGGAGCAGAGAACTACTCCTAGTTTATGAATACATTCCCAATGGCACAGTAGCTGATCATCTTCATGGAAAACTAGTAAACTCAAACTCGGGTATGTTTACATGGGGTGTTCGCCTAAATATTGCCATAGAAACAGCCGAGGCACTAGCCTATCTCCACGAGTCTGACATAATTCACCGAGATGTGAAAACCAACAACATTCTCCTCGATAAGAGTTTCCGAGTCAAAGTTGCTGATTTCGGGTTATCAAGATTGTTCCCAACCAATTGCACACACGTTTCCACCGCTCCACAAGGGACGCCGGGTTATGTTGATCCTGCGTACTATCTCTGCTACCGGTTGACCGACAAGAGTGATGTTTACAGCTTCGGGGTGGTCTTGATCGAGCTCATTTCTTCATTACAAGCCGTTGACACGAACAGACACAGGCTCGACATAAACTTGGCGGCAATGGCTATCAACAAGATACAAAACCATATGTTGAATGAGTTGGTTGATAAGAGCATTGGGTTTGAGACCGATGATTTCGTGAGGAGGACAGCCACTTTGGTGGCGGAGTTGGCTTTCCGGTGTCTGCAACAGGAGGGGGATATGAGGCCGACGATGAAAGAAGTGGTGGAGATTTTAAGAGGGATAGAGAACGATGAGTGGAACATTCAGAAACCGGAGGTGCTTGACATTGTGGTGGACGACGGTGGACTGTTTAAGGATCAGAACACAGAACCACCATCACCGGATTATGGGGTTACTAACAGATTGGTTGATGATTCTATAACGAATTCTTCTGATGGTTGATTCGAGTTCGTTGCATCTAAGTCGGGTTTGTTTCAACTTGGTTATGTGGTGCGTCTCGACTACGATAACTCATGACAGCAAGTTCTAAGGGGAATGTAGATAACAGAGTTTTAGAGCTACCAAAATCTTGATCGTCTGTTTTCAAGTTGTAATTTTAGTTGTGAAGCTTAATCAGAGAACCCTTTTGTGGGGTGCATATGTTTGGGTGCACTTGCCTTTTAATTTGTTGGTCTCAATAAAATTGCAGCAATTTCCAGCTTAAACCGTTTAAAACTGTAAAAACATTTATAAGAGTTATTCAGGACAGAAAGAAGTCTCGACATATATGGAGTAAAAAATAAGCGTTTACTTAGCAAGCACTTATCGGATGTCACTTGTTTTCTTGAATTTGGACATAAAAGAAAAGAAAATAATTTTTCGTGTTCTTACAGAGGAAAGAAAGGAAGAAAAAGATGTCGCTGGTTTAATGACGAATTAACAGGTTGCACTGATTGAGTTAGGTCTAACCCACTGTTATTTCACAATTTGATGGGTTGGTTTAGCCGGATTTCACGAGTCCAAGGTTTTCTATACATTTCTAGAAAAACCAGCATGGAACACTCTTGAGGCTTCAATTTTTTATGCTTTTAGATCCCACTTTCATGTATTAATTTTTGGAGCCATATAATTTAAAAAATCATTTCAAATTTAATAAAGAAAAAATGTACTTTAACCTTTGAAATAATTAAATTTTAAGATAATTTTTTAAAACAAGTCATTGGACATTTTTTTTGATATGGAGGGGGGAGACCCCTCCTATCAAGTAAAAAAAAACCATAAACACTGGAACAGAATTCGCGCTCGGGTGGGGGCGAACCACTTCCACCGGAATAACCAACGCATCCCGAGAAAGAAGGAGAGGAGAAATAAACCAACCACAAAAGGGAGGTCCCAGGCAGGCCAAGCCTGGGCAGCAAACAGGAAACCAACAAAGAACGAAAAAGGGGCCTAAACAGGCACACCCTAGAACGACCTAAGATGGACGGGACCCGAAGGGGACACAAAAGAAAACATCACACAAGACCAAAGGGAGGAAACAGCGCAAAGAAAAGACAAGGCACACCAGGGGAGGAGACCAACTACTCAGAAATCTGAGATGTCTCGGATCAACCTGGGAGGGAGAAATATCACTAGTAATAAATCGTGCGGTGTCGCCATCATCCGACTCAACCCCAATCATGTCTTCCTCACCAAGGAGATCATCCTCAATCTCAGAAGGAGTAGAAGGGACAGGGGGAGAAAGCAGCCTCAGGATCACTAGGGTTAGAAGAGTCAGCAAACACATAGAAGTGGTTGGTAGAAGATGAGGGACCCTGGTTTGATTCCAAGAGGGGAGTGGGGGATTAGAAGGTTGAGGGGTGGGTAAGGATGAGGGGCCTAGGTGGAGAAGAAGGTGGGGGTAGTGGTAGTAACA